CTTGTGTGCACATTTAGTAGCACTACTCTGTCTATTGCTGCCATGGAGAATCATGTATTCAGGTCTGATGGGCGGGTATCCCAATGCAACTAGGATAAGGAACAACCGCGAACTCCGGTAATTTTTTTTTTTTTTTTTTTTTTCTCGGGCCGGGGGCCGAACCTCCTACGAGGTCCCCGCGCCTAGGGGGCGCGCGGGGTATGTGAGACTCAACGATCTGCAGGTGTTGAGAGCAGATCGCGGGCCCAAGGATTTTAGGGCCCACCCACTAAACGACTCCCCTGCACTCTTACAACCGGCGTCCGATCTCCGTCCGGGGTCAGAACCCGTTCAGAGTAGGGGGGTTCCCGCGGTCAACACTACAACCAGACACGCGGCGCCACCCCGAGGACGCCCGACTGACGGGTCGTCGAGGCGATAGTCGACGACCAACGACGTCAGTCTCCGCGGTACGGCGGCCCTACCAGGCCGCCCGGGCGGTGCCGCTGGTGTTCCGGGATACCCCGCTGGGCCAGAACCAGCCTGCCGGGTCGGAACGCGATACACCGCCGACCGGGTTGCTCTTCAACAGTATGTTCGGCGACGACAGCGACGACGAAAATGCGGACCGCATCGCAGTCCGCAGCCGCCGACGCGCCGTCCCGTCCTCCTGGTGCCAGCGCGCTAGAGTGACGGTAGCGTGCGGCGCAGCCTCAACCCCCTTAGGTCGCCCCGTGACCATCACCGGGAGGAGACTGCCTCCTCATAGNAAAGTGAGCACGGAAGGTCCAACGACTGTCCAGAATGAGGCCGAGGTACTTCAACTGCACCCCGACCCCGATACGGACGCCTCCAACCACGATATGGGCATCGACAGGTGGCACTCTCCGGGGCCTGTGGAACCACATGGCCTCGGATTTACTGAGCGCCACGTCGAGGCCCAATCTCCTGATTTTGCCGACGACATGCGCCACCCCAGCGGTAGCAAGACGGGCAGACTCAGTAAAACCCCCCCCCGGACCACGACCAACGTGTCGTCTGCGTAACAGATTACGCTTAGGCCCGGGAGGAGGGCACCCCTCAGTACCCAGTCATACCCGATATTCCACAAAAGAGGGCCGAGCACCGACCCCTGTGGAACACCGCGCACGACCGGGAACCGGTGCACGATCCCACCGTGTCCGGTACACGTGACCGATCTGTCCTCCAAGTAGGAACCCACCAGCCGGCGAAGGTAGGGGGGCACTCCGTGTCGTTCCAGCGCTCCCCTTATCACGGACCAGGGCAGGGTGTTAAAAGCATTGGCGATATCGAGTGACACCGCCAAAGCCACCCCACCCCCGGAGACGGCCTCCTCCGAGAGGGCCCGCACGCGAAGGATCGCGTCTACCGTTGAGCGGCCCTCTCGGAAGCCATACTGCTCCGCCGACAGATCGGGTCCCACCCTGACCAGATGCTGGATGATACGGGCCGCCAGAATGCGTTCCAGCAGCTTGCCCACCTCATCCAGCAACACGATAAATTAGTTGCATGACACTAATTTCACCAAAAAATCGCGCAGCGCACGAAACTAATTTGAATGCATGAAATTAATGCATGCATTACGAAAGTATTAAATTACACGTGAAACTGTTGGTAAAACTAATGTCACGAAATTAGTTTCATGCCACTAATTTCGTAATGTAAATTCGCCTTAAATATAGACAGATCCTGACTGCAAGCGGGATTCGAAAGACTTCAAACTCTAATATTTCATTCATCACAAACACATACTTGACTCGATTCAATCGGTATTCTCCTAACTTACATAATATAGGGAGAAAGATAGAAATTAATCAGCATGCCTTGTCAAATGTCCGAAGTTTGTGAACCTCTGTCACCATATTCAATATGGAAAACGAATATGAAATGAGAAGGAATTTATACAAATAAATAAAATTTGTAATGTCTTGCATGTGAAAGTATATACGTTAAGTATAATAAATAAAGTATTATTACAATATCTACGATAATAATATATACATTGTTTAAATTCTTCTTTATATGTCTGTATATTACTATCTGAAATGTCTACCTATTTTGATGGCACGAAAATTGACTGATACGTAATATTATAAAAAGTAACACTGATTACTTTAAAAAAGAATTAGGGTTTCGCGTATAAATATTAAAACCCATGAATTTGTCAAGATCTGATTCAAAATGAATACAACAAAGCTTAGTCGGCCTTATCTATACTGTACAGATCAAAAAGTGTCAAATTGTAACTTTAATTTCTGTTAAAATTATAAAATATTTTTGTGACCTTTTGTTGAAATGGGACGATTTGCTTAGGGGCTCTCTTTCAAGCGAAACTCACAACAATAAGATATCGGTTTTTATTAAAAAACCTTTTAGAAACGAGATATCAATCAAAGAAAAGTATAGATAGATACACAAAAATCAATAGAAGTTTTTCTTTTGTTTTTGTTTTAGGTTCTACAGAATCTAAACGATTACTTATTAATATTTTGTTTGGAAGCCATTACAATCTCATAAATCACGAATCCGAGGTCAAACGTCGATGTTTTCAAGCGAACTCGGCCCGATCAAGAAATAAACAAACCGTGTTTTAATTACATCCATAAGAAGAAGAAATACAACTCAAAATAAATTTGTGAGAAACCGACTAAGTGATGAAAATATAAATTTGGTATCGTTTGTAACTTAGCCAGTGTTATTAATATTAAATCAAACCTAAAAACTATTTTAGTTCTACAATTATTTTCGCTTTTGAAAAACAAATCTGAATTACATTATATTACTGATTATTTAACTTATCAACAGTAACATTTTGTTTATTGAAATCAAAAACACGTTTGACGTTGATTGTACCTCTAATGCTACATTTCTTGGTGAATCGAGCGACGGAGATGACATGTGCTTATCTTGCTTCGTAAGTCTACAGGAGGACACCTACTATGAAAAGTTTCCAATTTGAAAAGGCCTGTGAAATATTCGAAGAGCGTCCCGACAATACGGACTTTGCCAAAGATTCGTGGCATGAGCACAATAGAACGCATCTGTACGATTGAAGATGAAATTGAAGGAAGACAAAAACATTTTCGTATTTTCCTTTCCTGGGAGAACTTTACTCTGCCAAAGTCGAAAACCTATAATATTTGTGATAAGCTAAGCACCCAGTTATCATTTTATAATCACTTTTTATAAATTCTCCACAAAACTAATTAGCGCAGCATAGGACGTCATAACTCATGAAAGCTACGAAAGAAACAACAAAACCATCCTTAAAATTTAGAACGCTAAAATTTAAAACTTCACAACTGGGATTATATAAACGCTCAACGGGTGGAGTGGAGACACATTTTTAGGGCGCAGTGCTGGCCGTAAGAACATTTAAAAATTTAGGAGAATTCTCAACGACAAAAATATGGTACATGGATTTACTGGAGCATATTTGGAGCCTGTACGTGGTTATCTATCTACTGAGCAATTGATTATTTGACAACGAACTTATGTCAAGCTGTTTTGTGGTTAGAGTAATCTGACATATCGAGATAAAATTGAAAGATTTTTCATTAATTTTAATTAAAGCAATTTCAATGATTTCTTTTTGTGCATCTGTAGTAAAAATATTGAGGAGGTAACTGAGTGGTTTTAGCTTTTTTTAATATCGTATAAGGAATACAATAGACAGATGAGCGAATATTTTAAAAGTCCGAAGATAGAATTTCGAGTATTTGTTAACAATCCCCAAAATTTAAAAGCCTATTTAAACAGTTTCATTCAAAATCATCATCTTCTATTAAAATAATTGAAACCCGAAATCCACAGCAGCAATGCCGAAGCTATGTTTGCTGTGAACCATTATGGGTACCTCAAAAACCCGGTCAACTCCTTAAATATTTAAAGAGGAGCAAGACGGGGCCGAGCCGGTCGCGAAAACGCTGCAGCAATTAGTGTTTTTGTGGAAACATTTAGAGGACGCGCGGTTTCATTCTTGTAGATTTAATGATTCAACGTTTCAAACAGCTATTCAAACTTGACTCTGAGAAAATGTTACAGGTAAATTTGATATCGTTCGAATTTTTATTGTCTTATTTTTTTATTTATTGCTTAGATGGGTGGACGAGCTCACAGCCCACCTGGTGTTAAGTGGTTACTGGAGCCCATATACATCTACAACGTAAATGCGCCACCCACCTTGAGATATAAGTTGAAAGGTCTCAGTATAGTTACAACGGCTGCCCCACCCTTCAAACCGAAACGCATTACTGCTTCACGGCAGAAATAGGCAAGGCGGTGGTAACTACCCGCGCGGACTCACAACAGGTCCTACCACCAGTAATTACGCAAATTATAATTTTGCGGGTTTCACTTTTATTACACGATGTTATTCCTTCACGGTGGAAGTCAATCGTGAACATTTGTTGAGTACGTATTTCATTAGAAAAATTGGTACCCGCCTGCGAGATTCGAACACCGGTGCATCGCTTCAACACGAATGTACCGGACGTCTTATCTTTTAGGCCACGACGACTTCTAAATTGATTTGTATTCATTCTCTTGTATTATTAATGTAATTATCTTGTATTAATTAACTGGAGTAATTTTCACTATCAATTTAAAATCTCAAAGCTGACAATGTTTTTTTTTTGTATTAAGTTTATGCACTCTAAAATATTTTATTGAGTCGACTTTTTAAGAAATAAATTATTAATTCTTTGGGATTCTAATTTCACAATCTGATATCCGTGCATGAATAGAAAGAGCTACCTAATAATGTTTTTTTTTTATGATTAAAAGATTACTGGTGCCCCGAAGGCCTTTCCAGTTTCACCAGGACAGGTGGGCGAGCAAAGGCTCAGCCAGGAGGGGTGGGATTCGCTAACAGCAGCCCGAGCGCCTCCGAAGGAGACCTATAACAACTCAAGAGCAATTGCTTCGCGAATGAATCTACTACCGGATCGGAATCGCGACCCGCTGAGAAGATCCGGCGCGAAACTCAGCGAGCTAGAAACTCAGCGGGCAAGATAATAATGTGTGATTAACGATTGTGGTACATACTGATGTGTTGTTACGTTGAAGAAAAGATGGGAATACTGCGGCGCGGAGTCTTCGGGTCCATGTGGCGCCGGGAACGACATCACCAGCAAAACAGGTTTCCTTGTAAAACGACGTTTGGATGCTCGAAGGAATGCTATCGAATCATTCGCTATCAGATCCGGATAATAATCCTGAAAACAAGTAACAATATAATGGAATGTCACTTCTTTGGCAGGCAGCGGCTTGGCTCTGCCCCTGGCATTGCTGAGGTCCATTAGCGACGGTAACCGCTTACCATCAGATGGGCCGTAAGGCAATAAAAAAACAAATAAATAAAAAACAATTATTAACACAACCCAAGTATTTTATGCTACTGATTGAGGTTTATTTATTCTGGTGCTAGATAAGGTTACATCAGACTAAAACGTAAATCTATCTCGCTAAAACTTGAGAACGGCTGGACCGATTTGGCTAATTTCGGTCTTGAATTATTTGTGGAAGTCCAGAGTAGGCTTAAAAGGTAGATAAATATGAAAATGCTCGGAATTCAATAAAAATAACAATTTTGTTTTTCCTTTGATGTGTCCCCCGTCGGACGGATTCCTTTTGTTTGTTTTAAGTTTATTTTATACAAAAGTTTAGGTCTTTTATTTATCGATTGAAGCATTACGAAGTCTGCCGGGTCAGCTAGTAAAATTTAAAAATGTATCCCATTATTCACTTTTAGTCAGTTTGTCATGAATTTAAGGATACCTAGTCAAAAAGGACCCGATTTGCTTTAATCTTTGATTTAATTCCGATTCGAACGCTGTCTAGCAGGATCACCCTTTAAGGCCAATCTGTCCATCCGTCTTGGTGTCTGTAGGGAAAAACATATCGACTTATATATAAATTTCTCGGCTGAAACAGCCCTAAAAAGTTCGTGAAATCTTAAAATTAATTGTTGTGAATCTTTAACAATCTTTAAGTTAAAGCATTACGGTCTTAGGAAAATTTTGCATCAATACTAAGTAGTATTTTCTGTGATTTTCGCGAGTCGTAAACAACTACTTTTTCTGTTTAATCTCTTATCTCTTCTACGATTTAATCTTTAAACAATAAAAAACGCGAGATGGCTTAATCTAAAACTAGAGTTTCAACATCAATACCAATTACTGTTACGTCGCGTATTTTTTCAAATGTTCATATGTCTTGTTACTAATTTGTTTAACTGTGTACATAATTTTAATTCTTTAACAGATGAAATCATTCATTGCAAATACATTTTAATTATCTGCAATACGCTAATCTACTTTTTTTTAAAAAGCTTTAATAATACAACTATACTCACCCTGTGATAATTGTCTCCGTGCTTGATTTTCTTCCCGTTCATGTTGATACTGTAGTTATAATACTTAGAGTTCATTATGAGGCCTCCCCACTCGCGCCAGCCCGGAGGTATGTAAGAGCCGTTGTACTTGTTTAAATACTTGCCGAAATAACCTGTGGACAATCGTTGGAACTTGATGAGAACGCATTGTTCGTGGAGATCGATTCTCTTTTTCGATTTTCTTCGAGGGAAATTAACAATTTATAACAGTTCGAAATTGACTTGCAATAAATTGTTACGTACTCACTTGTCTTCGGAGAATATCGTATGTTTGATCTGAGATCTGTTTATGCAATAATTTCTAAACAGTATTGGATATTAAAAGCTCGATTTTAATTCAATGAGAATTAACACATTCAATGCAAATAATTAATTTGGTTACTAACGATCTAATCGAAAGAAATTACAAAAGAAATTTCTGGGTCTCGGCCCTTGTCGGAGTCAGCATATCTTTAAGATATATTCGATTTTTGGGGTGTGCATCGTTTTTGTTACCAACACACATAATATTGGAGAATTTTCTAGCAATTCTAGGAATGATAATTGTGGAACAGACGTTCCATATTTAACAGTCCGATTGCGCAAATAGATATTTGTTTTTTTTTCTTCTTTATATGAACGATCTCACAGTTTACCTAAGGTTAAGTGATATATAGAAATCATAACGGATCATAATAGACAACCTTTCAAGACGGAAGGCGCGATTACTTCAAGAATGAAATAATCGATATAGGGGCACCTACCCGTGCTGTCTTATAATATGCCCTACCTTGTCCTACCATAGTAGTAACTAAATAAATAGAAATGCACTGCAGCACCAATACTGTAAAATAGTTGTCAATTTATTTACAGATAAAAAATATCTTTGCATACAAAACGAATTTTTAATTTAATAATCTATGACGTTGATAGTGTATAAGTATAAAAAAAGGCATCATTGTTGGCAATATTAAAAAGAATGCTGGCTGGCTTTTAATTTTGAAGCGGGTATTACTTCGTCGAGCTGCTTTCGAGAATCTTTATTGTTATGGCTCCAGTGAAGTAACGTTGATTACTTTGGCCAAGACGAGGCGTAACAAGACAGTAATCACGTGAATTCCACAGGAACACTGAATAAAACCCCGTTTTAACTTACTTTTTAACGCTTATTGAATTAGATAATTTACTAACTTAAGTTAAGTCTACGGAAGAGTGCACAAGAAACACGTAAGGAATGTAAATCATCTCTCATACTCGATTAGGCTTCGTTTCATCATTGTAGCTATTGCCAACAACAAACTTACAAGTCAAAACCCTAAAAAGTTTTTCGAAAATCTACTAACTTCTCAAATAACGAAGAATATTTCATCTTAAGCTAAAAACACATTTAATATTTAAACACTCATACGTTTAAATCGTGTAGGGAAAATGCCTTTGCCGCAAATGGATGTGAAAAGTTGCCAAAAACATTTTGCGGGTAGACGCCAGTGACGGTTCATGTTTGTACACCTACATATTACATATTACGTACCTACACGCTGCTTTTAGTGAATACGCTTGTATTTTTAGGGTGCTGCGAAAACAAAAATGATTATGTTTGACATGTACCTACTCTATGTTTTGTACAGGCGTGCGACAGTGTAGATTCTTGTTTCATTAAAATTTCGCACAACGCGTGGAATTTATAGACAACGTTTTATTAAAAGCAAAAAAACAAAGTGTAAATCTTGTACTACTGGTGGTAGGGCTCTAGATACGGGTACCTAGTAGGAAGTTCCAGCCCGAAAAAAAGGTACTACCTCTCTACCTATTTCTGCATTCCCATTCGATACGATATATTATCGTAATATATACGACAATACAACATATCCGAATGTCGTATATATTAAACTATAAAACTAAACTTGTTGATGTCTATAGGTTCCGGTAATCGCCTAACAACAGTTGGACCATGAGTTTGTTCTCCAATCTAAATAATAATATACATATATACATACAAAGAGCAGCTATTCGCGAATCTGCAAAATAAATATTCACATACCCATTATATTATTAAATAAATTCTATCGTCTAACTTACAATCACTGGTATGTTAAAATGTATCTACTGCTTAGTAGCAAGTATAATATTATAATTATATAGGTATTATATATGTAGTTATATTCTCTTCATCTCTTATTCATACATGATGTATAACTACTATTCTTAATTCTCTGCTAGAAAAAATTCTGAATGAAATAAACACTGCATTAATACTCATTTATCCTATTACTGTCGATTACTATACTTTTTTCTATAGACATAAAATCTGATTAATTTAACATAAAAAAATTTTTGTAGTACTTAAGTATATCACTAACTTATCTCAGAAGCTATTAGTTTATCATTACAATAACAAAGAACTGCTTAATTTCCGAGTAACGATTATTAGTACTGAAAACGGTATTATTGGAACAATTACTGTCGTGCTACATGTCATAATAAAGTCCAGATACGTGCCCCGCTCAGAGCTTTCCAAGAACTTGTATTTGGCAAAGAGCACGAGGTTGTAATTATTACTCATACAATTGTCTTTAATTAAATTATATAATAATAATCTGGTTCAGTTTAGAAAATAGTTATGAATTGGAACGTAACTAAATGTAAATAAAAATAAATAAAATTTAAGTATGCGTCCATGATTTCGAAATAAAGTCTATTTTGAAATTAACTAAAACGAAAACACACATTACTTTTTATCTGTCTGTTTTTTTATTTCTTCGGGTTTTCGAGTAAGTTTGCTCAGATACAGTGGAATAGATTTAGATAATAGGTTCAGATTGATTTTAATCTGACGTGGGGTGGGGCAACCTAGAGAGACTCATAGTGACAGGTAAACATAGGACAGGAAGACATAGATCAAGACTGTATTAGTCTTCCAACCTGACATAATTCCTTTGAGAGAGAAATAGGTAACTAAATAGGACGATATAGAAACACGGGCTTACAACATAACCACTAATCTAAAACTCCTGTTACATAACTATGATTACTGGTGGTATGACCTTTTGTGAGTCGTGGATGGAAGACGATCCAGAGGTCGGAGCCAAAAAAGAAGGAGTGACCAAGTGTCCGAGTATCTGGACATGAGACTGACCTACGCACTTCACTCACTATTGACCGACAAAAGTGGCTACAAATTACAAAAAAAGTCACAGACGGGCGCATCACGATGCTCAGAAATGAGCGATCGACTGAAGGAGGAGGGAGGGGTGGGGCACATTTAGTATGTATGCAGAGTGTATTGGAATCTTCTTTGTAAACAAAAATGAATATGGGTGTTGCTGTTTCCAGATACTATTTTATATAAGAGTGTATTTGGAATTTGATAATCTATACCTAATATTTTAAATGCGAAATTATAAATGTCCTTATTTCTTTGTTATTTGTCATGTCTTAAGTCTTAATCAATCGCATTCTCGAGCAACCGGAGAGTAGTCAAAAATTTCCAAATTACAATAACTGTTGATTAATTATATTATGATAAAGTTACCGTGGAATTTCATTCATATAATTGATTAAGTTTGTTCAAAAACGAACTCATGTTTATATTAATACCTTTTGAAACATACAACTAAATATTATATAATTTCAAAAATAATTTGTTATCGCAAGCATTTTCTAATAATGTTGTTTATACATAATACGTTTTAAGAGCTTGGAAGGTCTACTTGGAAGGAATGTTTACTAGGCATTGTTACCAGAGGCTAACGGTAACAAAGTGAATGTCGACACCGAACAACATTAGCATGCATATCCATACAATATAACAATATATATCAGTGAAATTAGTTGTATTTATTTTTGTCTGTTATTACTTACAGTTCGGTAGGTGAACGGTTCCACGACCCGCTTTGTTTTAAGCGATTACTAGAGCCCATTTTTTTATTGCTTAGATCGGTGGACGAGCTCACAGCCCACCTAGTGTTAAGTGGTAATTGGTAAACGTAAATGCGCTTGAGATATAAGTTCTAAGGTCTCAGTATAGTTACAACGACTGCCCCACCCTCCAAACCGAAACTCATTATTGCTTCACGGCGGAAATAGGCAGGGTGGGAGTACCTATCCGTGCGAACTCACAGGAGGTATTACCATCACCACCACCACCACCACCCATAGAGATCAACAACGTAAATGCCGCCACCCACCGTGAAATATAAGTTTTATGTCTCTATTCGATATGTATGATACGAGTGTACCGAGCGTAGAATAACTTTTGCTCAAGCAGTTGGTTGTATTACTGCCATGACAGAAATTAATCATCAGAATTAACAATCAGATGAACAGTGTTTTTTTATTTTTTTTATTGCTTAGATGTGTGGACGAGCTCACACCCCACCTGGTGTTAAGTGGTTACTGGAGCCCATAGACATCTACAACGTAAATACGCCACACACCTTGAGATATAGTTCTAAGGTCTCAGTATAGTCACAACGGCTGCCCCACCCTTCAAACCGAAACGCATTACTGCTTCAAGGCAGAAATAGGCGGGGCGGTGGTACCTACCCGTGCGGACTCACAAGAGGTCCTACCACCAGTAATAACGCAAATTATAATTTTGCGGGTTTGATTTTTATTGCACAATGTTATTCCTTCACCGTGGAAGTCAATCGTGAACATTTGTTGAGTACGTATTTCATTAGAAAAATTGGTACCCGCCAGCGAGATTCGAACACCAGTGCATCGCTCGATACGAATGCACCGGACATCTTATCCTTTAGGCCATGACGACTTCAAAGCAGCAGTTGTAGCAGTCACTCCACTTTTACTCGACTTTACTCGACTTTTATAGACAGCTAAGCCCTTATTTAGTCTGCCCGTTTTCCAAAATCAAACACACAAGTGTGTATTAAATTGTTATTACAATCGTGTACTAGTTCTTCCACTTCTAATATCGAATCAACCAACTCTGATAACATTATCCAAATTTAGCTCTATACAATAGTAAAAACTATACATCGGTACAGTTAGGTCCGGTCACAGTCCTCGTCGAACCCGTCGCTTGCGATGAAGGGCTCGACGAGCGAATTAACCCACAGACACAGCCCACTGAGTTTCTCGCCGGATCTTCTCAGTGGATCGCGTTTCCGATACG